ATGTTTTCATAATGTGTCTATACCTTGCCCCGTGTCCGTTTCATAGCCTGCAGGCGATAGTGCCCCAGGAGTGATTACTAAAAATACCAAATGACGGGCACGCCAACCCGCCGGGAGACTGTCTACAAGATCGGCGATATTCCTTTATATTTTTGATCACATTGAAAAACTTGGAAAACAAGATCAGAGTTGAGTCAGAGGCAAAGCTGGAATCGTTTGTCGGTTTGCGATGGTGTGCGGGCCGGACGCCGGAGCCCCCGGAGGCGTCCAGGCTGCGCTTTCGCGAAGGTTGATAATATAAAAATTTACTGTTTTGCAGATCGCTGCTATGCTGATGGGTAAAAACAAAGGACTTTGGGAAGCGCTACAGAGTGGCCGCCGTTGATTGCGGCTTAGGCGCCTTCGCGTGATATGAGGATATTCTTAGCTCAAAAAAGCTGTTAAGGATAATAATCAGGGTACTCAGCCGTAAGGGGAACAAGGGGCTCTCAGGTCCAGTCAGGCAGCACAGGGCATTTATTCGCGCCAGACAGTTAGCATCGTACGTCGGGCGGCCCCGCGCGGGTCCTCGTGCGTGCACGCATCCATCACCAGGCAAGATGCACGCCGGTCCACAGACTTCGGTGTCATTGTTGCTAATTATAAAGCCGGTATTTTTACATCGACGTCACTAGTCACCGTTTGCATACTAGCTATATCCAAAGCCTGCTCAGACCTTGGTCTGACAGAACCGGCCGAGTTCCAACAGGCCAAAGAGCTCGGCCTGATCAATGGAACTACCAAGAACTCATGATTGTTGAATTCTTCATTGCTATTTCTTGACTAACGTTCACGTCGCTGTCGAGGTCGTGATCGACCCCGCACTACAGGACTCGTCCCCGCCAACCGAGGCTTACTAACCACACTTCAGCAGTAGTTTACGAGTGCGGCTGCGACGTCTCAACATCCTAACAAGACTGATTTATTTATATGAACCCGGGAGAAGAGGTGATGCATAGATACGGAAGAATACGAATAAGGCTGCAGCCCATTACTATGATGTGATGTTAGTGCACCGGCAACGGCTGCGAGCCTCTCTCGTCTTGGCAAGTGCTCGCATGTATAATTTAATAAGCGACGCTAGGATAGCGCGACTTAGAAGAAAAGCTAAAACATGCGTTCTCAAACGCAGATACTATCTAGCGCAGAGCCAAAGACGGTAAATTGATTCCTGCTGATCCTCAAGCGTAACATCACTGTAATCTGGCCACAGCAGCCACCTGTTCGGTTGAGCTTCACATTGAAAGCAAGTATATATGTAGAAAATCCATTCTCCAGCCAAGGGTACAAGTTCGCACCAGTCGCACGCAGGGGACAGCTTTTGAATTAAATATCGGGCATGGGACCAACACACGGAAATGCAAGCAATCGAATGCCACCTCAACTCCCCCTGGTATAATAAATTTCACTAGCAAGCGTGCGTGCCGTACGGCACACGCGTGTGGAGCCGTCAGGGCATCGAACTGATTAGGCGGTTGCGGCGGCTAGTCTTGGCTAATCGGGCCATCGACACATACAGTCGTCTGCACCCTAAAACACAACCACTTATCACGGCCATATAAGCAAGTATATTAAGCTACCTCCGTGTGTTCTACATAACCGTTAACCATCCAGCCTAGATGTTCAGCTGATGCCGCGCAAGGGCGGCGTCCGCGAGGTAAGAGAGCCAAAGATTTGCTTGAAAGATCTGCCTTCCATCGCGCCTCCCATGGTGACACAGCAGCTGCGCCGCAGTCACTGTTTTATGGCCTCTACATTCAGGAGCCGACGCGGGAGGCCATCGTTCGAGCCAGGGTAAACATGGGATTTGGCCACCGGCATAGCTTATAAAAATGTC